ACTGGCTTCAGTGGCTTTACTCCTGATTTACACGGATGTGAACTAGAGTGGAACGAGGCCCCTGAACTGGTTTTACTTGCTGTAGTTTGAAATTAGGCACTGTACAATGGATCTAGGAAAAGCACTCTTATGGTCATGGATCATTACTATCTATGTTTTTTGTTGGATTGATTTATACAGTCCCTGTTTGCAATATGGATTATTTATATATTTGTTCATCACAAGCGTCCCTGAGATGGGGGCTTCTCTTACGAAAGCACATTGGTGTATCCTAGGTAAGAGACAGGTGTGTAAAGAGAGGGCACATAGTCCAGTGGTTAAAGCACAGGGCAGGCAGGCAGACAGGCAGTGTTCTGTTCCCAGCCTTGAGCTGCTGTGAGAGTCAGTGCAAGGGAGTAAAACCAAAACTGAAAATCAAACACAAGAAATGGGGGGAAAAGAAACCGATGAATAAAAATCCTAACAAAAATATGCTGAAAAAACCCAAGAGGCTCCATTTCTTGGCAGTCATGTCCATCAAAACATTTAAAACAATTAAAAAATAAATAAATCCAAATTGGGTTCACAAAACTCTTAAAAAAAAAAAAAGCCGATTTGATGCCATTTTTTCCAATTGAAAATTTTTCAACTCCTCTGTTGCCTGTGCCTCAGTTTCCTTCAATTTTACACCTGGTTAGTAACACTGACCTACTTTGCAAGGGTGTTGTGAAGCTGAGCGTACATAAAGGGCCCAGAGTTCCTCAGATGAAAGGTGCTGAAGGGTGATTTAAAAGCTCCAAACATGGGTGTAGCCTATGAGTCAGGGATTGTGCCCTGCCTTATTTGTGGGAGAAATGGGTATACACTATCCCTAATGTGGTGTATTATGCATGAGACATAGATGCACCCTGCAGGAAATATTGGGGTGCCTTGGGCAAAACACACAGGCACCCTAAACAAATATTAACACATCCTCCAGAAATGGGCATGTCTTTTTGGAAAAAAAGGTGTGCTAACTCAGGTTAACTAACCCAAGTTAGCTAACTCAGGCTAAAATTGCAGTGAGGACATGGCAGCTCAGTTTTAAACTCAGGATAGCAGCTCAAATGAAAGGTTGTAGGGAAGCCAGGGATTAAACTCAAGATATTAACTTGAGTTAAAAAATGGTTTGCCGTCTTCACTTCTACCTGAATCAGAATTGGCTAATCTGGCTAAGAATTTACTTATTTGCAGGGAGGAGCTGGTGTGCTAAAAATAGCAGAGTGGACGCTGTGGCACTGGTGGCAGGGTGGGCTATCCGCCCCAGTCCAAGCCCGCCTGGCCCCCTAGGTCTGAGCTTGAGTGGCTGGCCCGAGCTGCCATGCACACTTCAATGGCCACACAGCTATTTTTAGCAGGCTAGCTGGAGGCTGTCTCCTCGGGCTGGGATGACCCCAAGACACAGATACAGCCTGTAGTAACGCGAAGTCTATCCTATGAAAAAGACAGTTGTGCCCCCGTGGAGCAGTGTCGGTGCACTGGCCTGCCTTGACTCAACTACTGAGGGGAGCTATAGCCCCCCCGAACTGGGAGTCAAGACACAGCCCACCCTAAAAGCTACCAGCCAGAGATTGCTATTTATCCTCAGAATTCCCCACCACCCTCCCAGGCACGGGCACTACTTGCAATCAAGCCCCTACAGCAGCTCTTAACAAGGTCAGAAAGACTGTGCCGGGCTCATGTTTCAGACAGGTGAGGACAGGATCGATCCACAGCAGAGGCCAAAGGTAACAAATCGGAGGCGGGTCACGTGTCGGCGAGGAATTTTCTGACCGTCATTCAATGAAAGTGAAGTTCACAAATGGGAAAAGCAAAGAAGGCGGCTCTTTCCTTTAACCCTTTCTGCCATGTCCACTGTGAAACGGCAGCCCTTCAGAAGCAGCGTGGCCAGGAAGCAGGGCAGCACGGGAGGTGAATTTAGCCCTCGCTCACTGGGCACGATACAGCTATGGTTACCAAACCAGGAGCACCCTAGGGGCTGACAAGGCTGACAAATGAGCTCCAGTTCATTTGCAAATTTGACACCATCAGATCAGGATTAAACAAAGACTGTGAATGGCTATCCAACTACAGAAGCAGTTTCTCCTCCCTTGGTGTTCACACCTCAACTGCTAGCAGAGCACCTCACCCTCCCTGATTGAACTAACCTCGTTATCTCCACACTGATTTATACCTGCCTCTGGAGATTTCCATTACTTGCATCTGAAGAAGTGAGGTTCTTACCCACGAAAGCTTATGCTCCCAATACTTCTGTTAGTCTCAAAGGTGCCACAGGACCCTCTGTTGCTTTTTACAGATTCAGACTAACACGGCTACCCCTCTGATAAGGGCAGAATGGGATTTTACAACAAGCAGCGGAGACTGAAAGGGGGTAGGCAAAACTGACACTACCCAGAGCTCATGTACAACAGCCAGGCAAAGCTCGTGATGCTTTTGGCTCAAAACAGAGGGCACTACCCACTCTGCTGACTCAAGGCAAGCACAACCCAGCATGCAGGAAGCTGGCAAGCAGATAGAATGCAGGCCTGTCTGCTTTTGACTACTGTCCATTTGCTATGATCAGAATCGTCCCCCCTCTCTGCATGGATAGCCGTTCCAGGCACTGCATGATTCTGCAGGAACACATGATTCTGCGCGCGTGTAAAGGCATGACAGCCACCATCTTGCCTGACACACCAGGGCGTCAACTGGGGACCTCAGAGAGGAAGAGTATGAGTTGCTGTCGCTTGAGCTAAAGAGCAATTGCTCCCTGGCTGGGGCTGTAACAAACTCATCTCCCCTGTGCTCATCAGACACACCCCCTTAGCCACAGCAGGTTTTTCCGCCCCCTTAAACCTCCCCAACTTTGCGACTACTGGTGCAGCTCCAATTGTGCTGGAACTAGCGCGTACAAGGTCATGGCATTCAACACTCCCTCCTCATCGCCCGGTGCTGCCAACCTCAAACATTCAAAAATCAGGAGCCAGGCCCCCCCTCAACATACAAGACTGGCTTTAAAATCATGCAGTTTTATAAGACGACACAGAGAGTTACTCCGAATTTACATCAGCAGAACGGAGATCAGAATCTAGCCCTGAACCCTTTGCACTCCCTAACCAGACCCAGAGTGGTAGAAACCAAATTGCCTCTCTCTGAGCTGGGTTACTGCATGCTATTATCTTCATTCTTCAGCTTTAATGCCAGTTTGAAAAGCTCTGCATATTTTTCTCAGTACATGTGAGAACAGACTACTCCACCTTGGAAGGTGCCTTAATCACTTTCAGTCCCGCAGGGCTGTGGCTGAGATCCTTTCAGCTCGTAGGCTACCGGTTTGTTGCTTTTAAGCTTTTTCTCTCTTTGTCTCTCTCTGCATTGACAAAATCCTTAATTAAAAATAAAAATAAAAATGGAGAACTGAGCTGTTTTTGGAATCCAGATCCAAAGTGTAGGCTGTTCAGATTCAGGGCTTTGGTTCTACCCACTACAGACCAGCTGCAAAGTAGGGACCTTGATCTAAACTTCCTTCAGAGTGTGGGGTGCTTAGATTTGGGGTTCTGGTGTGGAGCCTCTCTAATAAGTGTTATGGGGGAAAATGACACTCCCATCCCAAAGTAATAACCCCATTTTAGTATCGAAACTGAAACTAAGCACAGACCACAGGCCCACTGAACGCCCTTACTAGGCATAAATCCGATGCAACTCCACTGACGCTAGTAGAATGAAATCAGTATTAAACCAATGTGAGAGGAGAATCGGCTCCATCTCTGAAATTCCCTGAAGGTATACTTCATCCTGCCTTGGTGCAGGGGGATGGACTGGCTGACTCTGGAGGTCCCTCCCAGCCCTACTTGTCTATGATACAAAACCCCAACCCCAAAATTCTTTCATTTCATTTGGACGAAAAGGTCCAGGTTTCTACGGAAAAACTCAGACATTTTTTCCCCCTCATCTTTTTCAAAAAAATGTTCACAGAAAACACTATTTTTGGCCAGCCCTAGCTCTGCCAAGCAAGCTCTGAAACAGTCACTTATTCAGCTTTGAGGCCTGCTGCTAGTAGAAGCCTAGGCAGATGAGAGTTTGATTCCTGTCGAGTGTGAAAGTGTGTTGGGGTGGAAAGGGGGTTAAAGTTGTACTGGTCACATGACTGGTGATCACATGATACGCGGTAAGCTGAGATAGTCAGCTTTTTTGAGCTTCTGATTGATTTTTACTTTGTATCTCCCACGTTGTTCTTTTTTTAAAATGCATGGCAGAGGTGCCTGAAGCTCTAAATGCATGCCCCATGGCATGGGGTTTATATGAGATCAAAATCTAAATAGATAAAGATACTAGGATCATTTATACCTAGTATGATCCATTAATTTTCTCCCCTACCTGTACTCATCACCTGAAATCCTAGGGAGATCCCATCTTAAATACAACACATTTTATTCACCATATTCATTTTAATGTCAACCGTATTTTGTGTGCGAGTATTTCATGCAAGTGCATGAGAGAGACCCAGTTAAACCGATGTCATTGACCTCACACTCTCTAGCCCTGCCCACATCTGCAAGGAGGTAAAGCCCAGCTCCTGATGGCAAGAAAGTCATTTTCGAAACAAGCTGCAGAACCGGTTGCTGCGTCTTAATCAGAATTATTATTTTTTTAAAAAAGGATATAAACAACTCTTCCTCCCAAAACCTGGTTAGGCAAGAATGTTCTGGGTGTGGGCTGCCTTGTATAATTAATCGCACAGCTGTGGCTTATGATCCCTTTGTAACATCTCTCTCTCTCTCTCTGGCTCTACCCAGCATAGTTCTGGTGTTCTCCACCTCTCAGCAGCTCAAGGTGTGTCATTTAGGCAGAGGCTTTCCTGCATTCCTCCTCCACTCCTTGCTGACTCAGCCACCAGCAAGGTTGCCTGCTCTACAGAGAAGAGCAGTTGGACAGAAGATCTACCCCCTGCCAAGAGGGCTGAGAAAGGAGCAAGGAACAGAAAGGTCAAATCATCCCTCTGCAAAATGGAAACAGGGTGTGCCGCAAGGACAAATGGCGTGGCTGGGAACCAAGAAGATGTGACTTGTCCATCCCCCTCTAAGAAACAGGGAGAGGAGCTGAAGAAGTCCACCAGTCCCAGTGGGGGTGAGAAGGAAGCTGCCAAAAGCACCAGCAGTCCTTCTCTGGAGACGGGGAAACTGAAGAGCTCCATCTACTCGGGGACTGATTGGAAGAGGCCGATCATCCAGTTTGTGGAGTCAGACGAGAAGAAGTCATCCTACTTCAGCATGGATTCAGGGGACGGGAAGAAGCTATCATACCCTGGGGTGCAGCTTGGGGATGTGAGTCGGCCCCCCATCTCCTTTGTAGACAAAGGGGACTTGAGGAAACCGCTCTTCATGGCAGAGTCGAAAAAGACCTTCTTCTCCAGCGAAGGAGAGGGCAGGAGGTCATTGTACTCAGGCGGGCAGATAGGGGATCTGAAGAAGCCCTCCCTCCCTCCGGTGGAGACAGGGGACCTGAAGAGACCTAGCTACAACACGGCCAACAGAGTGCCCGGGTCGAGACCCCGGGTGAAGCTGGAGGAGGTCCTGTGCGACTCCTGCATCGATAACAAGCAGAAGGCGGTGAAGTCCTGCCTGGTGTGCCAGGCTTCCTTTTGCGAGCTGCACCTCAAGCCCCATCTGGAGGGGGCTGCTTTCCGGGATCACCAGCTGCTGGACCCCATCAAGGACTTTGAAGCCAGGAAGTGCCCAGTGCATGGCAAGACCATGGAGCTGTTCTGCCAGACAGACCAGATGTGCATCTGCTACCTCTGCATGTTCCAGGAGCACAAGAACCACACCACAGTGACAGTGGAGGTTGAGAAATCGGGAAAAGAGGTAACGCTCTCCACTGCCTGTTCCCATCATTCTTTCCACTCATCTAAATAGTGGACAGCTCCCGTTCTGTTCCCACCCGCAATTCCCCCCACCCCAAAGAATGTCTAGGTATAATGTTACTTACTCTGGGGGCGGAGCATTTGCAGCGGCCTTGAACGGACATTGCCGGTGCACTGGATGACATTAGTAAGGCGCTGATATAGTCTAACAGACTGATCTTGGGGAAAATGGGCGTGAGGCAACCTGGGTTCTAGTCCCTGCTGTGCCCCCTAGCTCACCGTGTGTCCTTGAGCAAATCATTTAGGACCCAGTTTTTTACGAGCAACCTCAAATTTTGAATGCCTCAGTTTTTCAGTACACAAACCTAGGCAGGTAGGGCCTAGTTCGGGTTCAAGGTGTCTCCAGTTGGGGACCCAAAAGTGGTGATCCCCCAAAAAAACAGTGGCCACTTTTGAAAAGGTTGGTCTGAACCTCTCTGGGGTTGTTCCTCCCCCCTCCCCGTGGAGATGACAATAATGCCAGCCCACCCTTTGTTGGGACAAAAGCTGCATAGTAAATGCAAAGTGTTGTTATCACTGAGCTGTTCGCTTGTACAGAAGCTTGCAGGGCTGGAATCCTATTTGAGAGGGAGTCTGCCAAAGAGTGTAGTAGCCTCACTATTAAGGAAGGGCTAAAGAAAGACCTTCCCACCTTTGTTCAGTCTGTTTGCTGAGTGGATGTGGTATAGTTACTACAGGGGTCTGGGATTGAGGTCAGGGCCCCATTGTGCTAGGTGCTGTATTGGCTAGTCCTTGCCCAGAGACCTTCCAATCGAAATAGATATGACAGAAAAAGGCCGATTATCCCCATTTTACACCTGGGGACTTGAGACACAGAGATCAAGTGACTTGCCCAAGGTCACACAGGAAATCTGTGGCAGTGTCAGGAAATGAACCCAGATCTCATTCCTGCGTCTTAAGCGCAAACCCATCCTTCCCTTGAGGATTGGGAAGCCACTCAGATACCATGGTGAACAGGAAAATACAAATGCCGAAATGGACAGAGAGGCTGAGAATTCTTCAGTGACACTAAATACAGAGAACTGGTTTAACTCTTCTTAAGGCCGAGCAGAAGGAAACGGCCTACCCTTTTCAGTTAAGTGCATGCAAGAGGGATTTCCAGGGAATCTAGAATGATCAGATATGTTAATGGTGAAGAAGGGCAGCAGGGAACTCTGTCTAATCTCCATCCTCTCCTACACAGTTTGCAGTCTTGCTTGCAACATTGTCCTCATCTAGCTGCTTTTTAAAACCAGCCTAAATGATGGTTTGCTCATATCTCAGCAACTCTCTATATAAAGAAATCCCATCTAAATCCCTGAAGGTCTTTCTCAGTCTGCAGGTTAATTTCATGCCTCGTTGTTACATTTGATGCTTTGTAGCATCTGCATCGCCTCTGTTCCCTTTAACATCATGTCTAATCTCAGGGAGGTCCCTGCTTAATCTCTGCTCTCTGGCCATCATGTTCTCTCTAGCTCTTTTGATTCACTCAGGTCTCCAAGCGGCCCTGCATCCTTGCGGTTGCTCGATGGACCTAGACCATCCTGATTGTAAGCAAGTGACCATAACTGGGCAGGCAGAAAGATAGCCTCCCCCCTCCCCCAGGACTTAAGTGATGTCATTTGATTTCTCATATATGTCTTTGTCTATTTATTTGGCTCTCATTAGTACCACGGCTGAGTCCCTGGGGAACTCAAGCAGGACTTCAAATACATCCCTGAACTGTGTTGTTTCCACTGCTGCTAAGCCTAAAGGATTCAGGGGTTTATCAATATGAATCACACACATGCACAAGGGTTTTCTAGACTACAGGTTTTGGCCATGTTGTAACTTGAATTAAGTGGAAATCAACTAGTTTAACTGTAGTTGCTCATTTGTTTCTGGTGCTGGTTAATTCACTCTAGGCTGAACCATAATGAGGAAGGAACAGGGGAGAGTATCTACATTAGCATTTATAATTGCTTGTGAGTGGTGGAAGCTAATTAGCTTGAATTAAAAGGCCACCACAAACTGGAGTCCAGAAACCTCCCACATACAATCAGGTCCTTCTGCTGCTCATCATCTGACAACAAGGGAAATCTGTAGGGATGCTCCTTCCTTGGAATCCATTGAGATTTATCCCAAATACATGGGACTCCTGCAGCAACGTTATTTTCCCTTTCCTGTTACACTTGATCCTATTGATTGCTTTGAATGCCTGAGAACACGGTAAGACGCACCAACCTGTCACATACCAAACTGTGTTCTCCTTATCGTAGGTACTTAGACAATCCCGACCATAGGTCTGAACACCTCACAATCTTTTTAATACATTTATCCTCACACCGCCCCTGCGAGGTAGGGCAATGTTATTATCCCTATTTTACAGATAGGAAACTGAGACAGACTAAGTGACTTGCCCAAAAATCACACAGGCAAGTCTGTGGTGGAGCAGGGAATTGAATGCTAGTCTCCTGGATAGCAGTCCACCCCACCAAACCATCCTGCCTCTCCCTGTCTTTCCCTCTGCTACACTGCAGAGTATCCACTTAAATCCTCCCCAAGGCACCCTTCCTGGTTAGTTTCCTGCTACAGATTTAAACAAACAGTAACATCCTCAGGGCCAGGCTGTTTAAAAAGCAACAAATCATAAAGCTAAGATAGCAGTACAAAATGTTGGCAAATGGTGGCTGCTGATAGCAAATGCACACACACAAAACTGATTCGCCAAGAGAATTCTGCAGCACAGATGACACCCGGCATTTTAAAAAGAGACACTCAGCTCACAACCAATTTTGCAGGCCTGTTTTCAAATGAGGAAGTATCAGAAATACCCAACAACCACCGATCTGTAAATAACACTGCATTACCGTCCATCCCAAGCCTTAATATTCTGCATGTCAGATCACATCTAGTGGAGAGTGCTTTGATTTTTTTTTTCTTTTCCCTTTAAGGAAAAAAGTTTACATTGTACAGCAGGTTTAATGAACTGGTTGAGAACTGACATTCAAGTGACTGGAACTGGGCGTTGCTCATTTCAACAAAGTGGCTTTAAATGGAGCGAACAAGGCTTTGAAGTTGACTGTTCATTCCAATGGTCTGGGGTGCTTCCACTCAGTGCCCTTTCTGTATTGTTACAGGCTGTCGGCTACAGAGCAAACAGTCACTGATATACACAATGGAGGAGCTTTTTCCCCTCCCCTATTGATGTAAGGTGAGGTTTTGGTTTGGCTTGTCTATGAGACCTTGTGTACAGTGGAGTTTTCAGCCACTGGAGAAGTTTTGCTGCTATCCTAGATGTGATTCTAATGCAGACACTCTATTCGAGGGCAGCACATCTTGCACTGGTGTAGTTATTGACAACTTGAAGGCTGGGTAAGCTGCACTGCTGCAAATCAACCCTTAGAGCAACTTTGCTTCTTCATTAAGATTTTGTACTGGTGCAGTTACAGTCCCAGAGGAGCCAGGGCCAAATCCACCAATGTAGATGAGGCCTGGAGTAACCTGAGCTGGGGTTCTCCAACCTTTGCATTCCTCAGACCATTATGGGAGGGAAAGCTTGACCCAATCCCCCCACTGTTTGGTTCTGAAACTATTGGGAAAAGTTGCGCCGTCTGAGAACAAAGCCAATCGATCTGGACCTTGGGGAAGCCTCCCAGCACAGGGGAATTTCCCTTAAGTAGCGTGGAGCTGGCACAAAGTCTCTATGATACCCTAAAAATCCCTCCTGTAAGGCTGTTCCTAGGCATAGGTGTGGGGGTGCCTGGAGCATCCCTGTGCTCTGGCTATTCCCAGCTGCCAAAATAGCCCCTCTGGGCCACAAGCAGCTAAGTGGAATTTAGGCCAGCCCTGAGGCTGCTTTAATCTGCGCTGGATGCTAAACCGGCCTCCCAGGTAGCCCCAGAAGCAAGGCAGCAAAGAGGCACCTTTGCCCAAACCCTCTGGTTGCGTGCTTGGATGTGCTCAGACCCATAACTGGGTTCAAAAAAGAATTGGATGAGCTCATGGAGAATAGGTTCATCAATGGCATTAGCCAAGATGGCGAGGGACTCAACCCCATGCTCTGGGTGTTCCTACACCTCTGATTGCCAGAAGCGGGGAATGGGCGACAGAGGATGGATCAACTCAATAAATCGTCCAGTTCTGTTCATTCCCTCTGAAGCACCTGTCATCAGCTACTGTCGGAAGACAGGAAACTGGGCTAGACAGACAATTGTCTGACCCAGTATGGCCGTTCTGATGTTCTTGCCCCCTAATGAATTGGGACCTTTGTTTTCAGATCTTTTAATTCTCTTGTCACTAGTTATGCTGTATTCAAATTTCCTTCTCTTTCCCTTCTACCTCCCAGCTTATTTTTAGATTATTTTCCCTGTTCTTTTCTGTGAACAGTTTTTGTATCTTCCATCCTTTTTATAAATTACCTCTCCACAGAGTACTCTAATTTGCTTCAGTTACCCTCCCCCCTCCCAATCCACTTGATTTAATCTGCATCTTCCTTGCCTTTTGCTGGTGTCTTCATACGCCTTCCCATCTTCCCTTGGCCTTGGTGCCATATCTGGTGTGGATAACTACAATATTTAGATTCTGGCTACCTAAATTGCCTCTGATTTACACCAAAAATGGCGTTCTTGCTCTAAATCATAGAGAAGTGTTTCTTGTTAAAACAGCTGCCTCATTCCACTCCAGAGGCAGCTGCATTTCAGTGCTGGAGGCAGGGATCATTATAACTTATACAGTGAGCTAGTAATAATTGGGGAAATCCTGTTGGGATCCATTTTCATAAAAAGTACCATCAAAATTCAGGATCATCATCACCGCCATCCATCCATCAACTTCAATTCTCCTGACAGTGCTTTCTATCCAGTCCCCCTCCCTTCAGAAAGGGATGATCCATTCCAAAGAAAGCCCCAATGCCCTGCAGACCTAAACCCCTCCGCACTGGCACTTGCTTTCCAGCCATATGACGAAGATCTTGTTCCTGAAAATGATACCTGTAACCCTTACGAGAAAACCACCTTCGTAGTCCAACTCTTTCCTTGACTAACCATTCAGTGCTACCAGAAGGTAACCCCACAGACCTGGTTGTCTGTGAAAACCCCTTGCCGTTCAGTTTCATTTCTGAATTTGGGCTGGCTATTAGAGGATAATGGGGGCTTGGAGCCAAAGGGTTCGCATCCCATGGCGTCCCACCTCTGCACCAATGGTTGACTGTGCCCTGTATATGACATTGCACAGCATGAGGGAGAGAAAGAAAGCCTTCAGGAAGGCTGCTATGTGGTCAGGGAGTGTTCCAGCATATGCTGCTCCAGGTAACCTATTCCCTAAACACAAATCAAGGAATTAAGTCTCATCCCTTCACCTTCCTGCTCTGAGGTCCAGCAAAATCTCCTTTATTTTAGATATATCAATAGCCCCCCTCATTGTCATAATATCTTTTCCTGAGGCCAATCCACCTTTCCTCTTCCACTCATTGTATGTTAGCTGGAGCTGGTCGGTGAACAAGCCCCAGACGCATCCTTTCCCAGCCACTCAACCTGCTTATGTCTGCTTTCCACTCTTTGTACACCTGGAACTCTGGGATATGGCTCTATGTGGGTAGTCACAGTCCAACAGCCCAAAGGGGCCTCCCCGGACCTAGGAACTGTAAAATGGCTTGGGGGGGGCCCTTTTAGAGGATCACAGATACCAACATGCAAAGATTGTTCTGAGCGAGATTTCGCGGGAGAAACAGGGATGCAACTTTTAACTTCACTGAGCTATATTGGAGTGGCTGGATTTTTTTTTTTTTTTTTTTGATGGGGCAATAGGAAAAAACCTGGCAAATTATGTTTTCCCTGATAAATAGGGACTTATTAAAGAGGAACAGTTTGAATCAAAGGGGCTCAAAAGCTGCTGCAGTTTGCTCAAGCTGGCACTCTGATACCATGGTGATGGGCACAAGTGTAAGAACCTAGTAGATAGATTTCCTTGGCTTGAGCTTGGTTGGGCTTGTTTGGCTGCCTTTCTGCTGCGTGCATTATTTATGTTGTGCAGCTAATCTCTTCAGTCCCACGGTACTCTTTCCACTACCCGACTGGATGACTGAAACCTTTACACCCTACTTACACTACAGCTATAATTAAGATAGGGAATCTAGTTACAATGTGGTTGAAATTGCTAGAAGTAGCTAGAAGACCTACTTCTGTTAGCCACGGCTGTAGCAGCTCAATCGCCTCTGTGTGGCCCAAGTACACCATCAACAGGGACGGAGTGGGTTACACACATAGTGAGTGACCCCAGCTGCCAATGGAGCCAGCGAGAGTTAAAGGTACTTTGCATCTTTGAAACTAGCTTGAGCTTAGGTATGGGATACGGCCCAACTGAATCATATTGTAAGCAAACCAGCATTATATCCAGATTCCCTGACTTGGTTACAGTTATAGTGTAAACCCAGCCTTATTACCCAGAAGTCGAAGACCTTGAAATAGTCATGCAAATTCTCCTGACGCAATTCACTGTGCTGTGCAAAGATGATAGCCACCCATCTTGGCTGATCCCAGGGATTTGACCAGGGACCTCCAGAGCTAAAGATATGAATTGCTACAACCTGAGCTAGGCTCTAGAGGTGGGAACTAGACCATCCTCACCCTTTGAAGGCAGAATGCGGAGGGAAACGCAGCAAACACTGATAGATGGGTTCCACGACCCGTAATTGCATAGGTATTCGGGCTCTCTCTCTTTACATGAACATCCTCATCGACAAATAAATCAGTTGTACAAATGTTCGTGGGAAGCCAATAAAAAGGGGTCATGAAGGTATCAAAGCAAAGTTGCTGATTTAGACCAAGCAAATGTTCCCAGTCACTCCCCCCCGGCCCTAGCCTTTTTTTTTTGCTGCCTTCACCCAGCTCTATCAGAACATTAAAACCCTAGACTCAGAGCACATTAATCCACAGTCCTGTCTAAACAGAATTCCTGCCGGGGGCGTCATCCCCTGGTTGCAACACTAATCAAACGTCATTCCATAATTACATGAAAACTGCTACTGCTGCACAAACACGCCCTGGGTTGGGCCCTTCATTTCATACCCCGCTGAATTTTGAAACAAGCCTCTTTGCCCTCCAGCTAATGACTCCAGCATGATTAAAAGCCGTACCATTTGCAATCCCACCCTTCCCGAGCAGGAGATTCTGCTGCTTCCTTTGCTTAGGGAGCCACATCTCTTGACCCAACTGAAGACACTGGGATCTTTTCCAGCTGCCAGCGTATGATATCCATTGAAGTGGTGCCAGGAGCCTGTAGCTCCCAGCCATTATGGTTCAGGGCCAAATGCATAAGTAAAAGCAGAAATTCTCTTTGAAGTAGGCCATACCCCGCTCGATTTCACAGGTCTCCCCCTCTCCTCCCTCCCACAGGCCGAGCTCTCACTGCAGAAGGAGCAGCTGCAGCTGAAGATCATAGAGGTAGAAGATGAAGTGGATAAGTGGCAAAAGGAGAAGGATCGCATCAAGGTGAGGACGGGACGTTCTCTTTGGCTTTGCCCAACTGCCCCCTTTCCCCTTCTCACCCACATGCTTTCCCCTGTTTTTCACACTTTCCTGCCCCTCTCGCCTCCCCGCTTTTCCCGTGCTCTGATTCTCCCGTTCACATTCTCACATCACACTCATTTCTCCCTCCCTCCACTCCTCTCTTATCACCTGATCAACCACACTCATTCTAAGTCTGGGAGAATGGTGTCCGCTGCAATTCTCACATGACACACCCTGCAGGGGACCAAGAACGCACAAGATGGACTTGCTAGATGACGATCCTTGTTACTTTCTTGCCTGGGGTTACTGGTGCTCTCTCTCCATCCAGTTATCCAGCAAGCATCACCGAAGGCTCGTCTACACACAAAGGTTGGGTTGGCTCAACTATACTGGCATAGTTAAAATGATTCAGCCCCCGCAATACGGATCAAGTTATACCCATAGAAAGGTGCCTTATACCAATACAGCTTATTTCTATATGGGAAAGGGAATAAGCTATACTGGTATAGGCACCTTTATACTGGTATATCTACATCCATAGGAGGGGATCAATGTAAATATCGGTTAACATAATTCACACCCTACCTGGACACCAGGCCCAACAAAGTATATACAGTCAACAAGAAATCCTGCCTTCTCTCAGTCCTTCCACAACTGTACCTTGGTTTTCTTTCTTCCTTTGATATTATTTTGGGAAGCCAAGCTAGAAAGCTTAGGCCTGAACATGGGACTATCCTTGGTCATTCTGGGACACAATTTCAAAAGGGCCAAAGGACCAATCCTCAAAGGTATTTAGGTACTTCCATTGGTTTCAATAGGAATTAGGCACCAAAATACTATTGAGGACCTGGGCCTAAGTGACTTAGGAGCCCAGGTCCTATTTTCAAGTGTCACTTCAGAACCCAGGACTCTCTTGAAAGTCCAAGGGACATAGGCTTGTCTACACTAGAAATGTTTGCTACTGTCACTACACTGGTATAGTTAACATGGCAGAAACCCTCGGAGTGTGGACATATTCACGCCAGTACAAGTGTGCTTATATGGCTGCAGCTTAGTGTAGTGTATATAAGCTCTCTCAGTATGACTGCATACACACTAGAAGTAATACTGCTATAGCCATGCTGGTAGAACACGACCCTAGCAAACAGAGTTATACCAATGTAACTTTTCTAGTGTGGTCAGACCTTCGGGTAGGATCTCTGCTCCCATGGGCTGGCTGCTGAGAATGCTCTGCCACCCCCCAAGCCTCAGTCCCAAGGGTTTCACTCTAGTAAGTGACTCCCTTTAAGTGACAATGATGAATCTTTATTTTGCAGTAGCGCCCAGAAACCCCATCCAGGGCCCCATTGTGCTGGGTGCTGCACAAACACAGGCAGGGACCCTAGCCCAGAGAACTTACCGTCTAAGAAGTCTCCCTGCTATACTTCTCCAGACACAGCCTAGGATTTCAGCCTCTCCAGCTTGCGTTTTGATAGGCTAGGGGATCTGCCTGCACAAATGCTGCCTAATGGGAGGAAGGGGCCTGGCCATGTGTGGAATAGCTGAAGGTGCTGGGGAGGGGTGTCTGCCTCCAACATCATGCTGTTCTTCCTCTCCTGAATATACATTGCGGTTGTGTTGGATTGCTGGAGTCCCCGGTCTGAGCGCCTCATGCCACGTGCCTTCTATATCCCCCCACTAGAACTTCACCACCAACGAGAAAGCCACCGTGGATCAGCATTACAAAGAGCTGGTCCGCGACCTGGAGAAGCAGCGGGATGAGGTGAAGGCTGCCCTGGAGCAGAGGGAAAAGACCGCGGTGGAGAACATAAAAGAAATCGTGGAGGAGCTAGAAGAGAGGGCAAAGCTGCTGCAGGAGGACAAGGAGATCAGGGAGCAGATACATCAGATCAGCGACTCGGTGCTCTTCCTGCAGGTAAATCGAGGCTGCATCTTTCCTCCACTCCTGTCTCTACTAAGAAAGGGATATCTCTGATGGGCAGATGATCCACAGGCATAACAGAACGGGGTCAATTTACACCAGCTGGCAATCTTGCTGTGAAATGTTAGAGTCTGTTTTTTGGAGACATACCCCTGACATAAGCAGGAATCAACTAACTGATCAGGGTATCCAAGGCTTTCACCCGATCAGAGGGAGTTCACATGATACCGTATTGCCTAGGAGCGATGCACAATCTTAGTGGATTGACCCCGATACCTCTCCTGAAACCTAACATCCCCCAGCCTCCTCAGAGCCCTAATCTCCATTGTATTTAACCTCTTCTGTACCCGAATCTCTCCTTAGCCTCCCCTGCATCCTAGCCTCTTGGTACTTTAACCTCCACACCTTCCGGTTGGCAGGAATTTGGCGCAATGATGAGGAACTATATCGCCCCGCCATCTCTCCCGACTTACAGCGTCTTGCTGGACGGGGACACCATGAGCCCGTCGATGGGGCTCCTCCGGGATGATCTGCTGAATGTCTGCATGAGACATGTGGAGAAGATCTGCAAGGCAGACCTCAGCCGGAACTTCATAGAGAGGAATCACATGGAGAATGGTACTGTTTCCCCGAGCTGCTCCTCCCTCCCTTTTTCTGCTTTCTATTCATATCCAGAGTCAACCCCATCTCCAGGTCACAGCATTTCCCTGTAAAAAAACTTCAACTTTTTTTTTCCCATTGAAATTTTCCAGCCAGCCATGCCCATTCCCCAAACTCCAGCAAAGGAGGTGACACAAAGTCAGTGATGAGGTCAGAGCTCAAAGGTCAACAGACGTAAGCTTCCGAGTCACTTCTGAAGTTTCATAGAGTCTAAATTCTAAGGCCAGAAGGGACACTGTGATCATCTAGTCTGCCCTCCTGCGTAACACAGAATGGGACTTCGCCATCTGTGACTTAGGCCTTGCAACACTGCTTGTAGCCATGCTTAAATACCTTTACACATCTCAGGCACTTTAGAAAATTTTACCAATAGTTTAATGGATACTGCTTAGAATCTGGCTAAGAAGTCCAAGGGTGTTCAAACTGCTGGGAAAAGTTATTTAAGGTAATCCAAAAAAACCTCTTCACAGCCATCATATCTGCAAACCACAGTTATACTTGAAAGAAGGAAGAGTTTGTATCTCATAGACTCATAGACTCATAGACTCATAGACTTTAAGGTCAGAAGGGACCAACAACTGCAAGTGACTGCAAGGAAATAACTCTACAATTACTTATTGGCCTTAATTAACAGACTCCCCGAGTCAACCTAGCAAGCTCACCTGCAACCCATTTGATCTTTCATTGTTAAAAACTTCACTGGGAGAAATAATATATTAGTAGAGGGAAACCTGTTTAATATCAGTCTCCAAAGAGACGCCGCTTGTTGTTATAACAGGTGCCTGCTTAATAGTCTTGCAAAGAGGCAGAACATTCAAACAGCATCCTGAGAGTTTTAATACGGCAGAAATAAATCAGAGCAAATAAACCACAATTCTGTTTGCTAACGTAAGAGTCAAACCAATGCAACTAACAAACTAAACATCGGGTGAAATTCACCTCTTTGCAGAGAGCTAGCAGATGGCTCATACACCACTCAAGGCCTCACAATAAGGCTGAAGTCAGATGTAAGCGGCACGTAAGCCTTGTGTTGGCTCTTTGCACAGGGTCAATTTTGTGCATTTAGAACCAAGCCTGACCCAACACCTCTCATCCAAACCAGTTCCAGAACTCGGAGCTGTTTGCAATCTAGGGCAACTTTTTGCATGTGTCTTTATTATGGGCCACACTAAAACCCCTTGATCTGAAAATCCTCACATAATGGGGTGTTTGCAATTCTACATCCAGGTCTGAATTTCAGTTGCTTGCGCCCACATCTATGCACCCAAGAGAAAACATCCCTAATCTTTAAGTGGTTTCCATTTCTGGCCAGTGCAGCAGGTCACTCAAAGGGAAATGCCCAAACCCCAAAGTTGTGATGTGGATGTTTTAAACAAGGGGTTTAGTAGGGGGCCTCTTTCTAATTGACTGCAATGCATTTTACTCAGCTGTTCAGGTCTCTGGGTAGTGGAACCCCCCTAGGTAAGTGGTTGACTACTATAGGGAGAGTTAAACTGGAAGCGATAGGAAATCTCACAAGGACGGAGACTGTGCCAGCTGATGATACAGGTGCTTGTGGATAGCAGGTGGACATAAATATAGGTTGGGTTGTAAAATGTCAGCCTCTATAAAGTGTTGCTCCTTCTTGATCAGCGGGATTTCTGTATGGGGACTCATTAATTCAACGCAGACGGTACATTTCTCACATGCAGTTAGATCCAAGCAACAAACTTAATTCTTTGCTGGCAAAAGGTGCCAGATTGACAGCTCAGGAGAACAAAGTCCTTTATTTACCCAGGTTCAGCAGCCAGCTGACCCTCTTAACTCCTCACCCTGTCAATACGCCTTGACCCAAATGTCTAACATCCTCACCCAACCAATATGATCTGAGGCCTCCGCCTCTAGAGATGGGGCTGGAATTCAGTTTCCATGGCCCAAGCAGATTTTGACTCCCCTCTTCAGAGTGTGCCAGCTATCACGGGAAAGGGCCAGGGCCTTAGAACCCACTGAAGAGGGGAGTCAAAAACTTTAGGGCAGCCCCTCGTAGGCCCCTCTCCTTTTTCTCAGGCGTTTTGCTCGCGGGTGGAGAGGATGTCTCTCCTATTCCAATACTCGGGATACTCAGCAGATGGGGGCATTGTGACTAGATAAGCTGATCCAACTCATCCCCAAGTAGGCTCCCCTGTGATCATGGTGGACACGCTGAGTGTGAGCCACAGCACACCTGACTCCGAGGAAGTCTTCCTGTTGGCGTCCAAGAACTTCAAATCAGACCCTTTGTTTGTAACTGGATAGGAGTGTATCTGGAGAACATTTGATAGGCATGTCCCAATGAACCCCAAAACTAGCATGTAATTCCCTGGATGCCTGCTAGAGGAGAACAACCAGTAGCGGCCCAGTTTGAGATTTTGACCTACCAGTGAAAGGATTTGACTCCATTCCCCTGAGCCATCAGGTTATCTCGTCTGTCCAATCAGTGTAAGGCCAAGGAGAATTGTGCAAAAGTGTCAACTAGCGAGGAGGCACTTGCTGTCCATCCCTCAGCTCTTTGGGAATCATCCACGAAGCTGCTAGTAGGGAACTTTCTCATTTTGTCACACCGAGCCCCATGCTTCTTGTCACACATTCATGGGGATCTCTAGTGCTGGTTCATCGAGTGGTTGAGTCCCACCTTTCAGTCCTCTGCCTCTTCTATGAGGAACTGCTGCTTCCCAAAACATTGGTTACTCTATCTTCTCACCAGTGATCTTGGCAGCACAGCCTGTGTGGGAAGGGGACAGAGGCAGATGGAGGGGGAGGCTGCTACGCAGTCAGAGAGGCCCGGATATAGCAAACGAGTGCATTGTCTAAGACCCCATTTTCACCAACAAACCCTTCTGCCGAGAGCCTTGATGCATTAATGATGCCCACTCTGAACAGAGGGGCAGGAGGAAAGAGGAGAGGGAGTGGCAGAGAAGAGGGAAAGAGGACAGGGAGGAAAGGCTAATGTAAATTCTGCCCAGGACAGGTCTTGATTAGAAAACTTCTCCAGCAGGATCCTGTTGAGACAGCAGCTCCAATCCTGAGCCTAATGGGGTTAATGGGAGTTTTGCCACTAACTTCAAAAGGGATGAGACTGCCTCGGTGACCCTGGAGTCAAATCCACTTAGATACCTTTGTTCTGTACAGCCACCCTCACTTCACCCCATCCCAAGGAGCCCTAGACAGGAACTGCACCACTAAGGAAGTCTGTTTTCAAAGGATCCATCTTGCAAGGGCAAAATGGTTTCTCCCTAAAGGTCTGAGGAAGGCCAAAGGGGAACGGCCCTGGCCTATGCTGCCCCATCCCACCCACCCCTCGCCTCTGCTGCTTCCAGTCCTACCTCCTGCTGACCCAGACTTTGCTCTGCTCCTCCAGGTGATCACCGCTACATGCTCAATAACTACGAGTGGAACCAGCCTGACAACGTGAAGAGATTCTCCATGTACCTGACTCCAAAAGGTACCGTGACTGACCCTTCTCCCTCAAGCTCTCTGTCCCGTCCACGGCCGGGCTGCCTCTAAACAAAGCAGGGCAGACAAGACTCAGAGATGCAACGTATGGCTTGTCATTCGCTTCCTCTGACCACTTACTTTTCACATCACCATCCTGGAATCGGGCATATTCAGCCCCTTCATACTGTTCGTGCCAGGTCTGGATCTGGCCCCATGTTTTCTGTCTAGCCTAAAAACACAGACATTTTTGCACTCTCTGAAACAGGGCAACAGACAAGGTGCTGCCCAGGGTAACCGGCTTTGAGTGCAAAGCCCGGAGGAGCACTGAAGGGCTCAGGGCTTGTCTCCCTCGGACAAAGGTGTGCTCTGACCTTGCCTTAACCAACATGAGGTAAAACCCTAGTGAAGACGGGGCAGTCTGAAGTGTTAACATGAGTTAGCAGATTGAGCTCTTTACCTCGACCTGCTAACATGTATGAAAGCTCAGGGGTTTTGGGATCTACTCCCAGCTCTGCCAAGGGATTGCTGGGGAACACTGGGCATATCACGGCTCCACTCGCTGGCTAGATTGATCCTCTCGTATCTATTGCTATATGGAGAACTGCACCGAATACCCTTGGTCACAACGTTATCCATCCCCTGCATTAGTAGGTGGACATATTACAGTGTAATAGACATTCTGCACCGCAGGAGCGGCGCCAGGGTTTTTGGCGCCCTAGGCGGGGGTCCTTCCGCGCTCCCGGTCGTCGTCGGCAATTCTGCGGCGGGGGGGTCCTTCCGCGCTCCCAGTCTTCGGGGCACTTCGGCGGCGGGTCCCGGAGCGAGTAAAGGACCCGCCGCAGAATTGCCGCCGAAGACCCAGAGCGCGGAAGGACCCCCCGCCGCCGAATTGCCGCTGAAGGTGGCAAAATGCTGCCCCCCCAAATCCAGGCGGTCACCTAAATGGAAGCGCCGGCCCTGATGCACCAGATTCTACAAACACTACAGGGAGCAGTGTTTACTACTCAGAGCTGCCCCATTGAAGTCAATGGGACATTCACTTTAATAAACCAGATGGGATTCACAGGTTAGTAGTGCACAGAGCTGGCTGAATGCTGCAGAGTCATGGTTGGAATTCACACCAATGCCCTCAGCCACCCCTTATTGGTTTGTTATTTGCATGTACACACTGTATGAGAAGCAGCTGCTGCCCTAACAGCGCCCCGATTGGCATGAGAACAGGGGATTCATTCCCTAACAAGGCTACTCCTGAGTTGGTATTTGCTCTCAATCATTTGCTATTTCTGTTTTAATCAGCCAATGAGGGAGCAAAATCAAGACCATGTAATCTAGGCAACAAATCACCTACTATGAAGAATAACAAATAGCACAGAGTCAGAAAGTGAATAGTTCCCAAAAGACACGGGGGGTTGAAAACTGTTTGTCCAAAGATCTCAGCAAAGAGCTACACGTAGTAAAGCCGTTTGCAGACAGCAAGTTTGGTTCGTAAAGGATTCACAAACAGGAAAGAGGGCTGGATCCCAAACAACTATTCCTAATAATGAATAACTTCACAGCAAGTTATCAAACCTGTACATTCCTTCGATACCCATTTCAGTGCATCTCTCCCTGCATTTGAACAGACATCCCCTCTTGATGCAGTGCTGGGGCCTTGCACTCCTCTCAGTTTGTTTTCAGAGGGAGGTTTTTACCAATAGGGGTTTTGTGACTGGGCACCACAGGGAACCCCTTAGCACTTGCTAAATACAGGGACAGTCTTCTGCTTCAGAGCCCTCTAGCACAGTAGTTCTCAAACTTTTGTACTGGTGACCCCTTTCAAATAGCAAGCCTCTGAGTGCAACCCCCCTTATAAATTCAAAACATTTTAAAATATATTTAACACCATTATAAATACTGGAGGCAAAGCGGGGTGTGGGGTGGAGGCTGACAGCTTGCGACCCCCCATGTAATAACCTCGTGACCCCCTGAGGGGTCCTGACCCCCAGTTTGAGAACCCCTGCTCTAGCAGCAGTAACTAACTCAAAAATCCTCACAACAATCCCTGTGGCATGGGTGTTATTCTCCATGTGGGGAAACCAAGCAAGGTGAAATGACTTGCCCAAGGTCACACAGCAAAGTCAGTGTCAGCACTAGAATTAGAAGTCAGGAGTTCCTGCTGTTCCACACACACCACTCTCTAAAGCAACTGATTTAGTGCATGTGCAGATTAGCAGTGAGAGGTCTATCTAGAGGATGTACTACAAGGAAGCAAGCGTGCAGTGCTTAATCTGATGGCCCCACAGTACCATATACAATGACAGGCTGCGGTACCAGCTAGTGCAAAGTAATCCTAGTGGACACTAGAGAGTGATGTGGTCAAAGATCATTGGAGTCGGATTCATTTGCAAATCAGTCATTTGTGGCCATCTCAACCCCTCATCTAGCAAGGGGCAGCTCGCTCTCTGTTTAAACCACCTGCCCACAACCGAAAAGTTGGAACAGGAAGGTTACTTGTCCCTAGGGTGACCAGACAGCAAGTGTGAAAAATCAGGACAGGGGGTGAGGGGGTAATAGGAGCCTATATAAGAAAAAGACCCAAAAATCAGGACTGTCCCTATAAAATCGGGACATCTGGTCACCCTACTTGTCCCTGTATCTGGTGAGCTTTGCAAGGGAGCGGTGCAGATGCTACAGTATGTGAAAGGAACATGAATGGAAGTGCTAAAATGAGAGAAGCCCACAGGGTGGCAGCAGATGCACTTCGAAGATCTGGCTCCTTTCCTCTTTGCATATGGTCTCGGTGCCTGGTAGCTTGGAAGAGAGGTATGCAGCGGAGACCCACACCTCTGCAGCAAGTGCTGGGAAAACCCTGAAGCACAAGTCTATGGTGGTGGAGGTGAAGTGAGAGTGAGTGAGTGAGTGAGCAAGAAACTTTTCCCTATTACGCGTGTCTCATGTTCGGAGTCCCAGCCTCTCCCTGCAGGTATCTCTGCAAGATAATCATGCTGAAAAAGCATGAGTGGGCAGCTTAATGTAACTAATGATGGCTTTTTGTTACATTGAGGGAGCTTTGTTCACACTGCTCAGAAAGAGGAAGAGAGACGCCGCCCTTCCTCTCCCACCCAGGGCATTGTGAAAAGAACAGATGGGCAATTCTTCTGTGGCTTGGACCGAGCCCCCTGGCTTACTTTAACCTCACTTATACCGTGCAGGTTCTGATTCTAAGTCGGTCAGGAGGACTGTTAGTGGAGCAACACCAGGGCACAGGCCTAGGTGTGGGTTATCAGGAGCTGATTGCTGAACTGGATTCTCTTGTCTTGCAGCCAATTTCAACAACCGAGCGTGGGAATATTCCTCCTTCCAAAATGCAGAGGAGACACTTGGCATTGGTAACTCGGCTTTCTCAATGAAAGGTATTCCTCCCGCCTGTGCCAGGGCTTCTCGCCATTTTCCACCAAGTCCACCTCCTTTGCTTCTCCACCCTGACACTTTGGGGGCAGCCCTAGCTCATATTTGTACCTTTTCTATTTGGTTTATATCATCATCATCTACATTACAATCAGGCTCAGGGCCCCATTGTGCTAAACATAGTTAGGGAGAGTCCCTGCCCCTTATAATCTAAATAGAGACACAGAGAAGTAGGAAATATTGTTATTCCCATTTTACAGATAGGGAACCGAGGCATAAAGAGATTAAGTGACTTGACCAAAGTCATGCAGGCACTCTGTGGCAGACACAGGAACAGACTGCAGATCTCCCGAGTCTCAGGCCTGTGGCTTACCTACAGGACCATGCTTCTCCTCTCATCTCTCTTTTGTGTAGATTGAAAGCTTGGGGCACGGACTATGTTTGTACAGCGCCTAGCACAATTGGGCCCTGTTCTTGGTTGGTCCCTTGGCACTACCAGACTAAACACTCGCCCTTCCCCTTAGGTCTCTCTTCATACTCTTAACATTCTCTCATAGGCCTTCCTGCACGACCCGCACGGCTAGCAGGATTGTCTCCTTTTTACCACATGCTCTGCCACGAGACTCCCCTCAGCAGGAAGGGCCTGATCCAAAGCTCTAGTGAGGACTCCCGATGACTTCACTGAGCATTGCCCAGGGTCCCAAAGGCTGATGGTGAAGGAGCATTGGTAGACTTGGAGGCTGCCTAATGATTCTAGTTTGTGGCACACTGGTTTACTAGGGCCTGGCGCCGGCACCATGCATACTGCATCACACACGCGCCGTGGTTTCTCGGAAGAAAGATTCTTCCCTCCCTATGCAGAACTTTGAGACCATACGAACACCCTGGTAACATCTACCTTCTCTCACTTGGCCTGGCCACCTCATACCTATTCCCGCATTTGCAGCCCTGGCCTTCCCTTCCTCCGTTGGGTCCTGCTGAGGTTTTCAAAGTCCCCCAAGAAGGTTGGGATGTCAGATCCCTAGGCAGCTTTTTAAAACCCAGACCACCACCTCCTCCTCTCTCGTTTCTGGCCATTAAGAATCCGTTAAAACTAAACGAGATAGCTGTTGGGTAATTATCAGTCCTTTGTTTGCATTCCCAGGGATCTAAGTTCCCTCCGCCCAGCAGGTGCCAGGCCATCATACAGGTTGATGATTACACAGACAAGGACTTTTACCCCTGGAAGGCAACCTCTCAAAGTAACATAAGCTCTTCTCTTTTCCAGTGGGCAATGGAACTAAGATGCCATATCAGTTCTCCCAGATGGGGCAAAGTTCACCTGGTGACTTCAGCAAACAGTCCGACGGCAGCCTCTTCACTAAGACTGGTACAGGGCTTCAGGGATTTAGCAGCTTTATACTTCCCTCTATCTGTTCCTTCCACCCCACCGTTCAGGGGTCAGTCTGTAGTGACTGACCTGAGGGGGGTGTTTAATCCCATTCTCTGCTGCTCCCCCTGTGAAAGGCAGCCTGGAATATGGCACACATGGCCCCCTGAACACTCATTCTGGCTTGGTTATGGGAGTAGCTTAATGCAATGCAGGATTTTGCTAAACTTTGGGGTTGTCAGATCTAATGAACAGTTTGGAGTGATTTGTTGGGGGGCAGGGAGAGAATGGAAAGCAAAAGTTATTTGGGCAGTGGTGCGGGGGAGGGAGGGATTCTGGTGAATGACATTCATTGACCCCTCCTTGTAATATCCTAATGGAGACACCTTTACTAACGTAATAATGTGGGAGGCAGTGTGGCCTAGTAGATAGAGCAGTGGATTGGGACCCAAGGGACCTGGGTTCTAATTCCTGGCTTGCTGGGTGACCTTGAGCAAATCATTTCCCTGCTCTGTGCCTCAGTTTCCCCATCTGTAAAATGGAAATACAGCTATACTTTGAGATCTCCTGATGAAAAGTGTTATCCCCATCAATTAAAACAGAGGAACATGCACTTTCAGGGTGAAATCTTAGCCTCAGACTTCACTGAACCCAGGATTTCATCCTCTCCTCCTCACTGGCTACTGCCAAGAGTTGCGATTGCATCAATTCCTGCTAAACAGGGTCAGGCCTGGCCAATATATGAACGGGAGAGCTCAGGATAAAAGCTATGGGTTAGGGTTGCTGGAATGCCATCTTTCAGCTAAGCTGTAAATCCAAGGTCTTGATTTTTTGCAGAAATTAGAGATCCCTTTGCATTCTTTGTAAGAGTTAGAGCAATTAGCCTGGTATCTTGGCCTAACTTTAATTTGGCTAATGACATTCTGCTTCCAGAAATTCCCCTGACATTTTAACTGGATAGTTTAGTTTTTCACTCCTTTTCCCTGAACTGTTGAATGGTGGTGCCACCGTTCTAATAGATGCTGCAATCCACCCCAGAAGTGGCAGCATTTCGGTCATAGACTATATGATTCCTAACTATGTGTATTTTCTAATTCTGCAATCTGCGATGGTGCTTGCAGGAAGGGGTATTACACAGACCAGATCATAACCCCATCACTGCTCCTAACTAGCTATTTTGTATTGTCACAGCTTACCCTGCAATAGTGAGACACCAAGCTACAAAGGTGCAGCCGCAGACATGGAAATCCTCCAAGCAGTCCATGCTGGTAAGTAATAAGACCTGGACTTGTGCACTCATGGGGCTCCAGCAAGAGAAGGAACTGCTATGGGAGCACCCAGGATGTTGGGAGTCATAGGGGTGTTTTGGATCTGGAGAAGGTCCAGCAACTAAGCTTCACCAGTGATAGTATTTCTTATTTTTCATAGTCAACTCTGTGTCATTGAGAGATGGGCAGAGTTGCATGGTTCAGACCAGATGCCAAACCTGCCCATGGCTCAGAAACATTTAGATGCAGGGTTTTGGTTCAACCCCATTTCAAATCTTAATTTTGGGGCTTTCAATGGAAATTTGCTCCAGTCTAGACTTTGCCACAGTCGCTTAGACCAGGGGTTCTCAAACTGGGAGTCAGGACCCCTCAGGGGGTCACGAGGTTATCACGAGCTGTCAGCCTCCACCCCAAACCCTACTTTGCCTCCAGCATTTATAATGGTGTTAAATATATTAAAAAGTGTTTTTAATTTATAAGGGGGGGTCACACGCAGAGACTTGCTATGTGAAAGGGGTCACCAGTACGAAAGTTTGAGAACCACTGGCTTAGACTCTGCAATATTACTGTTCACTGCATGGGGGTCACCTATTAGAAGTGTGGTCTTTGGTGCCCAGAAAACACATACTGTGGAGTCTGCACACCACAGACCATAGCATAAGACTACCTCACATACTGATCACAGAGTCTTGAAGGTTGATGCGCTGTATCACTGATCAAGGATCAGTCTTTATGAAAAGTGGGCCTAATTCATTGCTACTTTGTACCCTATGTAATCATTTATACCACTCCAAAGTGGTCATGAAACACTCCTAGATCCATGTGGTCGTGTTTTGTACCCGTTTCCCACTGGTCTAAACAAATACCAGTATTTCCAACCCCATGTGTTCAAATCTCAAAAGTCAGGCCACCCAAAACTCAAGAGATTTTAAAAATAGTACATTTTGGGGGCTGGTTCTTTTTACTTGCCTTCTGCTTTTTGAGCCTTTATATTTCATGTTTTCAAGATTTCCTTGCAACCATGATGGCTAGAGGCTTACTTTTCTTAAAAAAAAAGAAACAAAAGCAGAGATTCTTAGATAATTGCCTGACTCCAGGAGCTGGGGCTTCACAAAAAACACCAAATATCTCAACTCACAGGAATCAGAAACACTGGACTACAGAAGGTGCAAGACCATTTTATTTAATTCCTAAATAAAAACCATACTGGATTAACAAGCCCTTAGCAAAACAAGCGATCACATAAAAACCTACTTGAACCTATCTCTCCTGGTTCCCTTATCTCCCTTAGCACTGAAATATCTTAGCATCTTGCAAGATCTAAATTAAATGCATGAAGAGGTCTTTCTCCCCCTCCCAAAAGAAAGTTTATCTTTTAATGATTATTATGCATTTGTAAGAACATGCCATTGCCTTAGGAATGAGAAAGGGAAAAAATACCAGGAGTTAAGAGCACTTACCAGCTAGAAGAGAAGAATACAGCAAGCAGCAACCACTTGCAAAATGGCTGCTTTAGGGTGACAGCTGTTTGGCTCTGCCAAATTTAAAGGACTAGACCCAGAAAGGCATGCTGGGAATAATGTTCCCATAAGAGAGATCCCTGCAGTAGGGGAGGTTAGGAGAAACCCAGAAGTTGTTGTTGTAGCACATTATTATAATGGGGGAAGCAAGGCTAGAGAAGTGGGTTTCCAGTTCCATCTGACAGTGATGAGATTGAGGGTAGAGCTACTATCTACTAGGAGTGAGCCCCACAATGGGCATGGACCTGTTGTGACAGTCCAGTTCCATTAACACAAATCACACCCTCACTAGTGCCCTGTTATTAATCCAACAGTCTGGGTAGATTCCCCCCTGTAAACACTTGGATCTCTTTCTCGTGCATATAGTAGTTGGGATTATTTTATTTTTATAGCTTATATTCACCAGATAGACCTGAACCAAACAATCCAGATGATATATATGAGCACTAAAAAGTTGCAAAATAGATACACGCGCTCTGGACTGCAGTGGCTCTGTAGGAGCTGTTACAGTCTATTGGGCCAATAATCTGGCTTTTAAAATAGCCTTAAATATGTATTTAAGTAATCCACCTTCTAAAAGGCCTGTAAATATTAATTCACACAACGGACTGCAATGCTCGAGGAGGCCAGAACTGCCGGCCCGCAGAGAGTTATTTAAAGGGGAGCTTTTCTTCTTTCTTTAATTACGCTGGAAATTGGAGCTGTAAAGCAAATGGAATTCACACACGAGGGCATTGAACAGCAGGTATTAGAAGTGTGGGCTGAACAGCAGGACTGGATGGACATGTTACATCCATCCATCCATCTCATGCTCAGCATTGCACGGTGTATGTGATGTTAATTGGTATGATTAATAGAGAGAAGCCCAAACCAGTCCTTTTAGATATCTACCCAACCATTCCCAAGATACGATCTGGATCTAGGTCAATATATCATGATGAAGCAAAACCAAGGCTGCCTTTGCTTTTACCCCATTGTGCCTATGCTAAGCAGAGATATCTATGTCATGAAAAGGTTGATTCGCTCATTTACCCTTGTGCTGGCTTAGCGCCTATTCATGGCTGCACTAGTTTTGACACTTTGGTACTCCTTAGAACTCTGGCCTGATCAGCATATTTTTGGAGTGGATCTCACAGGGCCCAGCAACATTGCTGGGAGCAGAGGCATTTGGGTAATTTCCATAAGCAATGCACTGCATTCAAGGAGGTAATTAAGAGGACCTGTTGAGCTGGTGCAGCTACACACAGCAGAGAAGTCATGGTAGATTTTACCCATACAGGTGGCTCTGAATTGAAGATCTTGTCTGAGATGTTGCAACCAACTAGCACAACTAACCCATAACGTGGCTGTTGTGTTTTACAAGAGCTGCAAGCTCCCTCATTCCAGCCAATGTTGTTTTTTGCAACACACCCTTCCCAGGGATAAACATGGCCAGATCATCCGGGCGGTAACAGCAGGATGACAAGGTTAGATGCTGATGGGAAGTGGCACAACTGAAAGCAGCAATGAATAGAGTCGGGGGAAGTTTGTAAAATAGATGCTCAAGTTCCGCTTTGTTCCTGCCCTTTTGTCATTCATGAAGATTTGCACAAACTGGGTTTTGTTTACACGGACTTTTGAGGGCTGGGCTCACACAGAAACCTATATTCACATGTGGACTTGAGGACAGACAACAGCACTGGTTATTTAACAATGGTTATTCCTTACAGTCACGTTTAAGGGTTTTGTGTCATCCAGCCAGAGAGCAGAAAAACACCATGCAGCTTAGCTGATCCATCACACACAGTGCATAGGTCAATGTTTGTGAACATCCTAGAGATTCAAATTTTAGTTCTGAACAATGAGTAGCTACGTACAAATATCAAAGGATGAAATTTAGCCCTGCCCAGGGGGCTGGCAGCAGACACATGCACCCCCTAAGTCCTATTTTGAGGGCTCACGTGGGATTTAATTAATGCAGACACTTGGTGTAGACCCTCTGCCTCAGAACAAAACTCACCCAAAGTCTGTGTGCAGCTGGAGAATAAGGGCTACGTTTGCAATGAATAAGTCAAGCGGCTCCAGTTTCCGAACAGGGGGAATGGGTGGTGTCGCTCTGCTAAAAGAACAGCTGGAACTGTTAATATATAACCGTTTGAGTGGAAGGGGTATGTGGGAGGGTTAATTAGATGGCGGAGGCAGTGCAAATTGAGCGTAGGTCAAGGACAGACTGCAAGCTACAGTCCTGCTCTTAATTCACATGCCCAAAATTCTCCATTGCAGTCACACCACCGCCCCTTTTATGTCAACAAAGGCAACGGATTCACTTCAAATGAGGCACCTTGAATCCCGCTGTCCATGGGAAAAGCCAGATGTGCCGGGAGTGGAGAACCAACCAAGAATTTTCACATATGAACCTGCTACTATATTAAACTTCCTGCTCTAATCTCTGGAGGGGCTGGATAGGGTGGTCGGCGGTAGAGGAAATGAGGACTTTTCCCAACTCATAATCGGTCCCAGGACCGTTTTATATTTCCCTTGAAAGCTCTGCAGCCCCGGAGAACTCTAACAAGCCCAACCCGTGTAGATTTCTTATTCCCTGTCTCGCCACACCCTCCTCTGCCTGCAGAGAGATTGCTCTACTTCTCCTAGGTGCTTTGGGGAAGGTGGGGTCTTGGATATGGTATGCACTGAGCCCTTCCCCTCCATAATATCATACCATGTGCTTCCTGCTCTCCCAACCACATAGTCATCATTGAATGAATTTGTAGAGCTGGTGAAAGGTGCCAAGTTGGAGTCTGAAGTCCTCTTTAAATCTACAAGGCAGGGTCATCCTGGGATCTGGCAGGCCAAGCTTTCTCCATGCTCCTCCATCCACCTGCCTCAAACCTAATCTGCAGACATTCCCCCCTCCCCCAGTGGGAAGGGCAAGTCTGTCTCTGTGAGCCACTCAATCCTTGGCCTCTCTATGGAGACACTCTTGGGCTTCCCCTTGACAATGTCCAGTGGTTACCACATGGTGGACACCACCTCTGCACCAAGGACAGCTCTGAGTCCCATCCACTCATTTCACAGTGGCCACCAAAGATGCATCAGACTGTAACCGCTTCCAGTCACTCCTCCCCTGGGCTGGCTGCCAATCGATGGCAAAAAGGCTCTACATCCCATTAACGGGCCCCCCCAGCCACCGCTTCAAATTAAAAAAGAAAAGGAAAATCCATCCCACTAATGGAAGATTGATTAGATGTCTTAGGTGGGCTCCCCCCCTCTTCCCGCAAACAAAATTGGCTTATATATTTTGGTTCCATTATTTTTTTCTGGATCAGGAATTATTTTTGTTGTTGCTCAGGGTAATATTTCAGGGTTGGTTTTCTTTCTGACTGTGTTCTGGACAGAGCGGTCGCATGACTGTTGCCAGCCAGAAAGCAGGGCAGAGGCGATTGGTGTTCCAATGATCCAACTTAGCTTTTCCCTCTGGGCAACAGGGAGGGGTGACTGTAACGATGCAAAATCTCCAAGAGCATCAGAGCTTGCTGCTGCTGGCTGCGGGGCACCCTCAGCTCCCCATAACTTCAATGGGAACTAAAGGCACATTGCAGGATCAAGGCCTGGCTCTCTGACCATGAGACGTTGCTGGAGAAGCGAGTGTTTGTAGCTACTTTTCGTGACTTGTTCAGTTCCAGCCTTCCTCAGGTTCACAGCCAGCCCACCCCTTCTCCTCACCCGTGCCCGCTCGCACACGCATGCAGCACCTGGTTGAATGAGGTCACACCTATTGCTTGCTGAAAATTACTTTGTAGTTAATCCCCATGGCAAAGCTATGTGCTGTTTTTTAATCTGACTCTGCAGACAAAACTTCTTTTATATCCATGTTTTACATGAAAGGACGGGGCTGGGGAGGGAGAAGGGGGCTGGGGTTGGGTGGGAGTGGGGTTGGGCTTGTGTATCTGTTTGCTTTGAAAAAAAGCTAGAGTAGTGTGTGTGCATGTGTGTGATATTAAAATAAACTGCTGCCCATGCTGGTGTTTTAAGTCAGGAGCGCGCGGGAGGGCGGGGGGGAGATACAGGTCCCAAAGTCACGGACCCACGGACCTAGGGAAACAGCGCACAGTAATATGTTTAGCAAGCAACAAGACAAACCACAGGGGTAAGGGGCAGTGATGCACTGTCTAGCTACCAGGGATGGGGTAATTTAGGAAGAGGATTTCCCTGGCTTCTCCTCCAAATACAACAGCGGTTGATTTTTTTACAAAAAATGTCCCTGGTCTGGGCTCTTGAAAGGCACGCTGATTGTTTTCGTCTGATAAATGCTCCCACTTCCTTCATGCGTATTTGTTAGGAGACAGGAATGATCCCCAGAACCCCAGATCTAAACAACCCACAAACTTTGGGGGGAGCTCACATCTAGATCTGAATTTCATTGCAGGCTCTTATGTCTATAATAAGGGAAACTGACCGCTTTCTGCCTCCCCGAGACCCGCCCCAGTGAATATACGTCTCATGCCCATCTCGATAATATTCCCTACTTTAGACCTGTATTCTGATGGGCCTGATTCTGATCTTGGCCACATCATTTTTTACATTGGTGTAACACCATTGACTTCAGTGGAACTGCTCCTGATTTACCCCAGCGTGAGAGAAGAATCAGGCCTCCACTTTCTCCAGCCAGCACCCCTAGTTTGCTTGAGACCTTCTCACGCAATGGAAAGCAATCATGTATCAGGCAGGGCTCTTGTCCTCACTGAACCTTGTGGATTAGCACTGGGACTTCCGGCTTAGAGGTGAATTTTGCATGAACTGTTTTATTATTTTGTTTGTCTTGATCAGCAAAGCAGAAACGCCACTAAGAATTCTGTCTTATCGGGCAGGCCGGCGCTGTGCCGATGTAAACGAGGTTCTTGGAGTGTGCAACCTGCACTGCAGAAATAAAAGAGAAACCTCTGTCTGAGGAACGGCTGGGCTCAAGAGTTCGCTCTCTGGGGATTGCGTGTTTCCATTATTCTGGATGACTTTTAGGGGAAGGGATGAGTGTACACCTGCCGTGTGCCCCTCCTCCCGGCCCCGTAACATTCCCTGACGTATAACAAATCCCATTGTTCTAACTCTGCGCCCTCTGCCAGTGCATAGAAATCCAGATGTGCAGAATTCCTAGCTGGCCCAGGCCCTCTCACACATAGCTCCGCTAATGCACCTCGCACTTGGTCTGCAGCTAGCCCAGTCACATCCCACCCACACAGCTCCTTCCCTCTAATACCCATTCCCAGTGCCCCGCAAAACTCTGCCAGTGTCATTCACAGCTCGCACCTTGGGCCGAATCCTGAGCACGTGCACTTCCCGCTGAAGAAAAGATTTGGCAAAAGCTGCCAATCAAACAAAAAAAGACCAGAGTGTAGCAGTTTTATGATATAAGGGGGTTGAGCTGAGGATGCTATTTCACTCATGGCCTGGGCCCAGGTCTCTGTAACAGGCTGGTACATTATACGCCGGTTCTATCTACCGGTAGGTCCCCCACACTAACTTAGCTTTACAAAACCTTCTTCCCTGGAAGCAGCTCTCCTCCTATAGGAAGGATTGAACATCACCAGAACAAGGTTGCTGGTGAAAGGGACTTGATGCTAAGTTAAATGTAGTGGGAACCCAAAGTAATGGCACTAGAATGAGAATGGTTATGTCTTCAGGGCCCAAAGGCTGGTCAGAGCAGGGTGAAGCTCTCACTGTGCACAAGAGGAAAGATGGTCCAGTGTTTAGGGTACTTGCCTAGAAATCAGAAGACCTAGAGTCAATACCATGCTCTGCCACAGGCTTCCTGTGTGAGCTTGGTCAAATCATCTAGTCTCCTCGCCTGTAAAATGAGGATAACAGCCCTGCCCTATCTTAGAGGGTTATTGTGAGGTGCCCAGGTACTGTGGTGACCGGTGCCATAATAAGCCCCTAAGATGCATCTCTTTCCAGAGGTGGCTGGCTCATTTCATGCCATAGGATACCTGATGGGTACCTTTTCCACACTGAGGGTCTCTCTTGCTCTCCAGAAGAATGAAGCTAGCGCCACTTAAGTGGAGAAGCCAATAAATCCTGCTCATTTATCCCACGTGTGTTTGTGAGCACACACATCTCAGCTCTTCCCCATCAATTCCACTCGCTGCATCCATTACTGTTATTACCGTGATTAAAAAGCAATCACAGGGAATCTTCTTCCGGTCCTGAAATTACCGAACACCTCTCCATTCCAGCTCCTAAGCATGAGGCAAGGAAGTTACAGCCTCAGCCCGCACTCCCTTCTCTGTGACTCCGGGAGAAAATAATGAACGTCAGCTCCTGGGAATGAACCTCAATGCCAGCCAGCCTCAGAGCCAGCGCAGTAGCATGGGGATCGAATAATGAACCTTACAGCTGCAGGACTGTGTACTCCCAGCTTAGCGAATATAGTCAGAGCCAGCCCCGAGAGACAAAATAATGAACCTCCCGCCCGGGAGTGTGCTCCACGCTCACAGCCCTGCCTGACGCCCAGCTCTGTGACACTGGGACAGAGCCTCATAGAAAGAGACAAGCCCCAACCAAAGCTGGATCTACACAGCCCTGAGCTTTGGGGAAGTTCAGACCTGGATTCATGCTTCGATGCTTGCTCCCAAGCATTATGAGAGCCCCCTCAAAAAGTTTTGAGGTCCAGTTCACCACCAGGCCCCTCTAGGAGCTGCAGAACCAGGTTGGAAATCTGACAAGAACAGAGATTTTCAGTGTTTCCAGTCCCAGCGAGAACAGGTGCAGGGCTGGCCTTAAATTTTGCCAGACCCTGTGCAACATAAGACATGCAGGCCCCAAACCACATCCCTCTTCCACACCTAATATATAGTGAAAGCAGCTGCTCAGGTCAGGGACACTTGATGTCAGAGGGTGCAGGACGGCGGTAGCCTCTGGGGTGGCAGGCCAGCATGCTTTTGGGTGCTTCCAGACATTGGCTGATTAACTCCAGACTATTTTAAAGCCAGATCACCACTGCCCAGGGGCTCCCCTCATGTAGCCTTTCCTCGGTTGAGATTCTAAGGGAGAGAAAGGAAACAAACTACAAGGAGAACATAGCCATGGTGATGAGCATCTCATGGCCAGCCAGCAGCGGGAGGGCGATGGAGCTGGTGCTGAGGGCCCTGCAGCTTGGCTGTTAGAGGAGGGAGTGGATGGAAAAATTCAGAATAAGGGTTGTGTGGAGGAAGACAAACCAAGAGGGCTCTTCCCAGCTCTGCCAAAAGGTCCCATTGGTTGAGACATTCAAGACAGACCCAGTTATTATTCACAACACAGCTCCAACTCTTCCCGCCTGGGAATTATTCTGCTGAACTCCCTACGAAACCCAGGAGACTCCGGATCTAGAGTCTTGGCACTGAGGAGGGGTTTCTCCTCAGCAGCTTAGCAGTAAAGACTCCTTGGCGGACAATAGCCCTGGCTCCCCCTTGCCCTGCACTTTGAGCGGTTGATTTACAGCCCTGCCACGTCAGTGTAAACCGCTACCATTCTGGTTTGCGGCACTACCACTTAGCGCTGGCCCGAGGGACAACAAAAGGGGCAAGATGACAGAGCACCGGGCCCTCTTGTCACTGCTCCCCGATGTGCCAATGCCAGCGGCGGGGAACATCCCGGAGAAGCAGGGAGGAACATTCAGACACCTCCACCTCTAAGGGGAGCAGACAGAAAAAGGCCATCGCTGCCTTTCCCACGCATCTATTCCCATAGCACTGGGGGAATTCCAGGTTTGTAAGACACGAGCATCCAATAGGTGTCAGCATTAAACTGCCGTTCAGTTATAGCACCTTCTGTGCTGCACATCCCTGTTGCTGGGCCCTTCTGGGGATTATCGTCCCACGCTGGATCAGCATTAACCCTTCGAGATACTTCATTTCGACACGGCACTTGGTGAATTAGCCGCACGACTGCTACTGGCAGGGAGCGCAGACAAACAGCTGCATGCCTCAGTCGTCTCTCTTACCTGCTCGGGCTGAGAACTAGATGGCAGCATGGTACTGTGGGTCATCTTCTTCTCAAAGGAGGCTGCAACTCCGGTGTTGCAGGGCTGTGTGTACAAGCACGTTGCACCTCTGTTTCACCACGAGGTACCCAGGAATTACACGGCAAAAGCCTGTTGTCCAAAGAGGGGAACCAGACTAGACCTAGGAAAGTGGCACTTGAATCAAAGGCGGCAGCGGTTCTTCAGAAAGGGGTGGATGAGCTGCCTACCATGCGGACCACTGCTGTCCCATTGTTTCCCTGTGCTCCCCTGTCCATCTGTATCCATCCCTTGTCTTTTGTCTTATACTCAGTTCTTTGGGGCAGGGACTGTCTTGTTGTTTGTACAGCACCCAGCACAATGAGGCCCGGGCCATGACTGGGGCTCCTGGGTGCTACAGCAATACAAACAATATACGAGCCGCACCAGGTCTGAACGGTGAAGCTGAGACCTGAATGCAGACTCCTCCTCTCTCACAGTCCAAGGGAGCTAAGGTGGAGTGAAGGCTGCAGCCCACACGCTGGCTGGTGGCCTTTGTACCCTTCCTGAATGCAAGTGTCAGAGCCCGAATCCAGCCATTGGAAAACCAGATCAGGTGGAGTTAAGGCTCCTCTGCATGCCCCTTGGGATGCCAGGAAAAGCCTGCCACCCCACTGCACCCTATCCCCTCCTTGCCATCTTCCCATGCCCCCCAGCTCCAAGGCATGACTACCGTCCATACAATTGAATGGGACTCTCCGTCTGGCCTGTGTAGCAGCACAATTGTCACTGGCTGGAAGATCACACTGGACAGGATGAGATGCCTCATCGGAGCCAGATGCACAATCCCCCACTCCCAAACATGGCAGTACAGCCAACTGCTATTATTGCAGAAGGGACAGCGCTGAGGT